TGTCAAATTCATATGTCGTGAAGATTGTCTTTTTAGAAGTATACTCTATGATAAACAAAACTATCAATTTATAAAATAAAAAATTATCATTTTATTATGAGATGACGTGAAAGATAAAAATCCATTGATTAATATTTGTTTGGCAAATACACTTCGTTGATTCTTTTGTACTCGTCATGCATAGATAAATAACTAGGCTTTAACCTTGTGAAATCTTTTAAAGAATGAGTGAATGACTGAATGCTCGAGGGTTTTTTTTTTTTTTTAACATTTGATACTGCGATTATCAGGTAATCCCCACCGCGAATACACGATCCTTCTTTCCCATTCCCTGTGGTTCATGAAATTCTATTTTTAATCCATCAAATTTATTTCTTGTACTTCTGGTTAGAATTTTGTAGTTTGGTTAGACGTTTGGTTCCTATTCCTAATCGTCTGGCTCCTCATAGCCATGCACATGAGGATAGTTTAGTCATTTCACGTAGCACTTCTATTTCCATTCAAGAATCCGCACACATATCTGCAAAATTGGCAAAGCATCAAAAACACATACAATATAAAAATAGCTAAGCATACCAAAAGGAACTAAGCATAAACAAAATTCAAGAACTTGTAACTAATAATATGCCAGTGAGAAGCATATTGGCAACACATGTATTAAGTTTAAACAAAACAAATGGATAGTTGTTGCTTGTTGGAAACTAAGCATACACACAATTTGTTATACATGAACATACAATACATGAAACATTACCAAAATATAGTTTATATAATTTCATAACAAGAAATCACATAAGATACTATTCATACCATACACATACCATAAATTGCCACAACATTAACTAAGACAACCAAAACATGAGCCATTCATGACTTTTGATAACATAACATACTTGTTCTAAATTGCCAAACTCGTGAACTAAAGAAATCAAAACGTGAACCTTTCATAACATGCACATACCAATTCAAAATTGTCAAATTATGAACTAAGTCAAGCAAAACATAATCCTCCAAGTTCTTAAACCAAAATCTATCTTAACACTTCCCCAACCATCCTTGATCACAACTTCCATCCCTTCAGTAAAATCATCCACCAACAAAAGTAACAAACTCAATGTCAGAAGTGCATGACTTCACCAACAAATTGGCCATAGATAACAATCACTATGAAATTGCCACATTTTCGGGTATATGTAATGCTTCGGTAACATAGTTAATATATCCATCATCAAAATTGCCATAATTGTTATATTATTCGGGAAATTATAGTTCTTTACTAAAACATTAACCAAAGACATCTTCTCAACTTTTGTGTAGGCTTTGATTTCCTTATATTGTGCAACAAAGTTAGGTAAAAGAATGATATCTTCACAATCATCTATGTGTAGAAGGCCATAATTTATATTGGTATGAAGAATAAGGAACTTTCATCATACTTAGTTATTTTGGGGGGATATATATCGGAAGTCCTCAATGTCAATCTCATCAAAATGTCATCATATCCTCGTACAAAAGCCTAAAAATAAATAAATAAAGTTCTAGGATCGTGAAACCGATGACATCAAGAAATATTACAAACCATAAATATAATTGGCGTATACTTCAAAGCATTTACTTCGTATACTCCACATTATGGTGATAAAATGATCAATAACGAAGATATGCTATTTCAGTTAGATGAATACTTCTTGAGGAATGTTTAATCAAATACTTAGATTACTGAAAGGTCTATATAGTTTCATTAAATATGGGATACAAGGGCTATAGGAAAAGAGCAAAATACTCTTATATGCATGGCATATGAGGTATCTTAATGATTTCATCTTAACAACGACCAAATATACAACCAAACTACAAAATAGGAACCACATGCTCAAGAAATGAATCTTCTGGAGTAAAGATGATACTTTTGGAAAACAATGAGACCAAACATGTAATTTACTTAAAAATTCATTCAATTAAATATATGTCATGTAGCCATTCCTTTGATTTTGATGCTACACCACTACGTCATCGAGGGTGACTATTCGCACCATCTTTTTGGGCCCACAAGGCTACAACAATTGAAACAACTTTTCAAACTGATAAATTATCAGTACATTGGAATCAAGTCTTGTAGTTCACGATTGTGACCTATGTGATGCAAAATCAAAGTCGATTCTACAACAATTATTTTATCGGAGGTTAAAATACTAGAAAAAAAGTGCTATTTTTTTAAATCATTTTATTAACCATCTCAAAATATTTAGCAATTAAACACTTTTACTTTTCATGTCTTATTCAGAAACCCATAAAATTTGCCTACAAATCACAAATGGTTGCATATATTTACTTAATTTTGAATATAAAAAATGAGGTAAGATGTTAATTACTAAAAGGTGACAATGACAATGAAATGGAATATATGAATATATGGATTTATGTCCTAGACACTTATATGTGACTATGTGAGTATGCAAAGACGGTGCAAGCTTGCTACGAAGGGTCTTTGGACGCCATATGAGTCGGAAAAATAATTAGTGTATTTTATGATCGATTTTATAAACTAATGTGGTGTCATAATTTGATATACTTAAGGGGTTATATTATATTTTTTAAGAAAACTCTATAAAAATCATAATATTTTAATCTCATAATTGATTTAGTATTTACATGTTAAGGAAAATGTATTCATTTTAAACTTTTTACCTAGTCAATAGTCTTCGAACTTTCAAAAATTACATTTTTAGCATAGATTTTAAGCCTTATTACAATTTTGGTTCAAAATTTACACTTTTAGCCCAAGTTATAACTTTTTTTAAAAATATTGTTTTGAATATGTTTTGTTTGTTGTATAAAACCATATTTATACACAAGAAACATATTTTTCATATAAAAACCTTCTTTTTTTTTTCTATAAAAACATTTTAAAAACATTTCTATGTAAAATACCTATATAAAAACATTTTATTAAAAACATTTTTGTATGCAAAATGCTTTTTTTATAATTTAAATACCTGTTTATAAAGCGTAGTTATATGAAAATACGCGAAATACACTTATGTAAACTGTTATTACATATATATATATATATATATATATATATATATATATATATATATATATATATATATATATATATATATATATCTTAATATTTTTTTTAAATAGGTATTTATTAAGTATATAAAAAACATTTTGTGTGCATATAAATACATAAATATATACAAACACGTTTTTATATATATATATATATATATATATATATATATATATATATATATATATATATATATATATATATATATATATATATATATATATATATATATACAAACAAGTATTTTAACATGGTTTCACTAAGCTAATCTATTACTTATGAGATAAACCTCACTTCCAACAAATATTCATTAAAATAAAAAAACAAATAAATAACATATTATATTATGAGCATAAAGTCACGCCCTTAGATAATTCGAATTTGTAGCCAAAGATGATGTAGTCAAAAGTAGAACATAAAATTACGTTTGGGTAGTCGTTTTGACAAAAAAGAAAAACATATTATGTTAAAGCGGCCCATTTACCTTTTGCTTCAAATTACTCGACATCAAGTATTGAAAGCGTAAACAAAACGTAAATTGTGTTTAGATTTATATCGTTCTTTGCTTAGTTTTTTAACTATAATTATTGAGTTTTATACATATTTCCTCGAAAACAATCATCGGTTGCTCAAAATAGAAAACGAAAAAGAAAAGGACAACAAAATGGCTAATTGTTTACAACAGTCTTTTGAATGAATATTTTTGTTAAAAATCAAATGGTAAATCGAAAATTCTTGGAGACGGCTTGATAAATAGTAAATATACATTTATGATTGTTTTTCATTTGATTAATTTGATTTTTTAATTAAGTTATGTATTTCTTGTTTTGAAGATTCTCAATGTCAAAAATACTTAAAATTAGGGATGAACGCATGATCCAGAGATTGGACAGGAACGGAAAAAAACCTGAACTGGCATCGACTAAACCGGATTTACCAAAAACCGGGCCACTTCCAATATTTTTAACATATAACCGATCTGATATATGAAAAGGCTTTTTTCTATTGACGTGAACTAGCCATATGCGACTAATACCTCTCTCTCCAAAAATAAATTCTTTAAAAAGAACAACATTATGTATAAAACTCTATCGATCCAAATTGACATAATTGTAAGGAAATACGATATGCACAAAGCAGGCATTTCAAGTTTATGCTTTGGTCTAAATAAAGGAAGCCCATGAATAAATATGCAGCAAATAGAAAGCCCAACAAACGGTCCAACAACTTGTAATCCACTTGTAGTACCGAAACCCGGTTTGGGGAACCGGAAAACCATAAACGGGTCCGATTCTGATTTTTAAAAATCGGTTTTCATCCGTTGCTCACCTTAAAGTAATCTATTTGAAACTGCTGTGATGTTGCAACTTGCAGTCCTGTTGACTACTTGACCATTTAGATTGGAGATTTGAAGTTCAAAGTTACATAATTTCATAGACTACTCATCCTTTTTGTTTAACATATACGTTTAAAAATTTATAACTTGAATAAGGATTCGCATTTATATAATCAACTACTAATATCTCGTTTCATTTTTCAATTTGTACGAAGTGCATCATTTGCTTGAGGCTCTCCTATTGTAGATAGTTTGGGTGGATTCTCAATTTGTGAAAATGTATTAGTAATGTATTTATCTTCGAAGGATGTAAGATTAAACTTGTACTAATATGGAATTTAATTAAATAAATTTTTTTACTGTATATATACGCACACACCATTACGTTGCCATTTCAACCTTAACCCTAAACAATAGGCCAAGAACTTTTATTAGCACATATGGCTCCAACATATCTGAATATTTCAAAGCTCTAAAGATGGTAAACAAAGCAGAAATTTAGTAACTAAAAGTCATGACTCATGAAATGAACAAACTGTACCTAATAGCTAGTTTTCAAATGACTCCTGTACGAAAGTGTTCAGTTTAGTTCCATGGACTAGGAAGCCTGGCATCTCTGAATACAGAAGTACCACCATTGGCTGCTGGTGAAGGAGATGAAGCAATGTAATTTGTTCCTGTTACAGATACACTTGGATTACCATTACCATTAACATTACCTTGTTGGCTTGTAGGAGCAAATCTTGATGGGCTACTTGTCACTACACCTGAAGTTGTTCGTGAAGGATTTGATGCCTGCATTTATTCCAAAAGATTCATTCACAACCCTTTTATAAAAAATGATGATGATGATGATGATGATCTAACTGTATATACTTTGTTAGATTATGTTTTACCATAGCAAAAGGGGTCCTTCTATGAAGGGAATCTGAAGATGGTGACACGCTACTCATTCTTGGTAAACTGCGTGAATGTTGATTTTGATTTTGATTTTGATTTTGAGCATCATCTCCTTCTGTATCGCCATTACAGTTGACTTCTGAAGCGGGTCGTGGAGTCACCTGTCTACTCATGGAACCAGAGTCATTCCCAACATCCACTTGGAGAGATATTGATTGGTGCCCTGTGGTAGTACCCTGCTGCACATTGCTTCTTCTTCGTAGCTCCTCTTCAGCACTCAAAATCTATGAACCCAAAGAGAGGAAGGAATTTTGTTAGAATAAAGAATTATGGTGAGGTTATCAGATAAGAAAGGAGCACTCACCTGTTTCAGAACTTGTACCAGATTATGCTTCCTTGCATTCAGGATCTGCAACTTCTCTTCAACCTCCTTTTTCCTTTTCTCTATATCACTCAGTGTAACGTTCTTAAGGGGCTGGTAGGGAAAAACACGAATAGTTATAGTCATTCGTTTCAATTCTCAACAATGATAAACAATCGATTGCAATAACCAATGAATACCTCTAACTGATGTTGAGCATCCGTTTTCCCTTCGTCTTGAAGGTCATCCACAGCATTTGAGGCGTTTTCCGGGACATCAACAACAGCTTTAGCATCATCAACTGCCACTAATTGTTCACCAGGAATCACCAAAGTCTCATCTTCATCGCCGACCTTTGATTCTTTCTGTTGATCTGCATGATTCGATTTCACCAATTCGTCATCAAATGTTTTATCGCCATTAACCTTTGATGCTTCCTCATGTTTGGAGACATCATCCACAGCAGGTCCGTCGGATTCAGGTGGTTCTCTATCATCCGAAGTAGCATCGTCAACAGAATTCTCATTAGGGTTAGGGTTAGGGTTCGTGGTGGTGGCCTCGAGGCGAGAAAGGGCTCTGGAACGGCGTTGGAGGAGATTCTTGAAATCCTTAGCAGAGATTTTGGGGGTGGGCACTAGCCATTGGTGGGGAACGTCAGGGCTCCGGTGGAGCTTCCCTTTGTAAAGCGAAATCGCAACCATTTTTTGTGGGATCGTCTTTCTCCTTCGCTGTCTCTAATTCCCCTTCTAACGGTCCTTTTAAACGGGTCGGGTATCCGCCACGCCTTTCGACCGAATGTGTGATGTGTTGGTTTATTTTAAAACTAAAATAATAACATTTTTTTTTATTTTGGTTTATTTAAAAACTAAAATTTATTTATTCTTTTTAAAACCACTTTAACCATCACTACATTAACAAATAAAAGGTTGTAACAAAAGATAATTAAAGTGTATATATATATATATATATATATATATATATATATATATATATATATATATATATATATATATATATATATATATATATATATGGAAAAGTGAATATACCCTTAAGTGTATATAAGCTTAGGTATTCAAACTTACAATACTATGTCTTTTTGTATCATATATGTATATATATATATATATATATATATACACACATTATAATTGTCTAATTTTCCTATAATTCAACTTATAACTTTATTTACTTCCAAGATTTGTATAAATTTCACATTTATCTCTCTCTTACATATTTTTCATTTTCAACTATAATATATATAATATACTAGGTGTTCGGTAAAAAGATGTGATGTAGGAGCAAGATAATAGCGAATGTAGCACCTGGTTCCTGGTATGTAAATCTTATTTGAGTGTTTTCCATTTTTAGCCATGGAATCGGCGAGTCATAGGTCCGACTCGCCGAGTAGAGCCGGGACCCGGGACACGTTTTAAGTTGGCGACTCGGCGAGTCCATATCCTCGAATCGGCGAGTCACCGCTGTTGGATGAAACCCTAAGTTTCAAGGGTTTGCACCCTATTTAAACTCTCATTCCACCCCAATCTCGCCCCCATTCACCCTCAGAGCCCTATACCTTGTTCAAGAGTTGTTTCTTTGCGAGTTTGAAGCATTTGGTGTGCTCTCTTGAAGTTTTGGAGTGGGAAAAGAGTAGATCAAGAAGAAGATGAGGAGGTCAAGCATCTTTGAGCTTTCTCAGTGTGATCCCTAAGGTATGACTCGATTTTCTCCTTGCTTTCATGCTTATATGTCACACCCCAAAACCAAGAACGGCGGAAACGTTCTGGGGCGGAGGACGTCATGTAAAGTATCACAACACAGCAAATGTAAATAAGCAAACAACATCATCCATTGCATTAAATATATAATTTTAATACAAGCGTGTTCTGTACAGTTTTAGACACCAAAAATATAATGTGAATCAAAATAATATGAGGAGTCTTGAATGCGCTCCATCTTCTCAAAAGCTGGCATCGGTACCTGTCTACTGATGACCTGAGAATACAAGTTATTTTGAAAGAGTTTATCAGCATTAAGCTGGTGAGTTCATAAGTGTTTTAGTGTCGGTGTTTGTTATTAAAAACGTTTGAACCTGTCGCAAGTATAAGTTGTAAAATGTATGTAAGTGTTTGTAAAAGTTTGAATCTCTCAGAAAAACCTATATTTTCTATTAAAGTAGCCTTCTACCAAGGCTTAACTGTTTTGTATGCTCGTTTGATGTAAAAGTGTGTAATTTCCCAAGTGTAACTATCTTTTAACAAAATATAGTTTGTACATTAAAGTTTAAGTGAGGTTATCACTAAAAATGTAATGGGTAAATCATTGTAGTACTGTAGTTTTGTATTATAGGAACTACTGTTGTACTAACTACCTTAAACCGGATTTATATTAAGGTATAATGTGATAATTGCACCATACTATCGACTGATAACAACGACATAAAGAACGGTCGTAATAACGGAATGACGTTTGGCACCCGCAGACCTGCAGGTCCGGCTGTAGCTAGCAGCAAGGTGTAGGATAGTCAATCCAGTATAGATCTATACGCAAACTCAACGCTCTCCCTCCAAGAGAATTCTGGCTACAACTCGGGCCATGACATTTAAGGCATGCTCCGATACAGTGGATCACAATTGTTATCGTATTCTTGTATATGTAATGAAATGTTTCTCGTTCTAGTATAGTTGTATATGTTCTCATAGTATAGTTGTATATGTTCTCTTCCTAGTATAGTTGTATATGTTCTCATGAATGAACTGACTCATTGATCTAGCAGTTGTAATAGTATGATCCTGTGTTACCCCGATGGTAACTTACTAATGGTGTGTCTAGTACGTATGAATATGGAAGTACTTTTATGTCTATATATGTATATTTGATATATAATTAATATGGAAACGACCTTCGGATGGTCACCCGAAATTCCACCAGACCACATCCAAATCGAGGAAAAGGAAATAGGGCAGGTGGCTTTCCTAAGCCCTTTAAACATTATTTATACATCTATACATATATGGGCATGCAATTTATAAGTAGTAAAACAAAGTTTAAATAAAAGCATTTGATAAGTAAAAGAGTTTGTAAAACATTTTGAAGTAAAACAGTTTGAACAGTGATAAAATCATTGGTTTCCTAGTTATTAATCACATGTGATTGAAGCAATAACTATAAGTATTTAACTTGTATTCCCCCCCCCCATAAAGTATTTAAACATTTAAAATCATTTCAAAGGTTGATTTAAGGGGTATGAACTCACTTGAAAGTTTTAAGATAGCGAGATGGAAAACCGGGCAGAGTTTCGTCTTTGGAAACGGATTTTTTTCTCGGGATTCTCGGGAATCTCGGGAGTAAAATCGACCCTCGGGACTTGAGCAAAAAGACCAGAGCTTCGGGTTTGAACGGGCACAGAAATCGAGGCAAGATCGTGAGAAAAAGAGAGAGAATGAGCAAAATTTTTGGAAAGCCTCGCATCCCTTTTTATAGGGGTGCTGAACCGCCTCGGTACGCTGGGCGTACGAGGGTATGCAGCACGTACGAGATGTCATCGCTTACGTATTTTGGATGGGGCGGGTCGGATGGGACGGCGGGTCGGATAGCTTCGCATAGGGGCGACGTGGACGGACCGAGACCAAGGCCCTCGGGTACGCAGGGCGTACAGGGTTACGCGGCACGTACCTCGGATGAGGACGCTGACTCTTCCTTCGGATATTACCAAGAGTTTTTATTTAAATTTATATTTATTTTAAATAAACTTCTAAAATTCATATCTCCTTCATACGAACTCCGTTTTCGATGGTCTTTATATCCACGCGTAGGTGAGACTACACTCTATAACTTTCGTTTAGACTCCGTTGGAAAATTCCGAAATTATTTTTTTTATTATTTATTTATAAAATGATGTGATTAAGGAATTTGTTTAAAAATTCATAACTTCTTTATCTGTCGTCGGTTTTTGCCAGACTTTTTACCGCTGAAATACCATTGACGAGACCTTCGATTCTCGTTTAGGTCATTCCGGCCAAAAGTCGCTCGATCTCCGATTCGAGTTTTTAGCTGTCTGTTGCTAAGCTGAACTTGGAAAAATCATAACTTCAATATACGAAGTCGGATTTGGGCGTTCTTTTTACGTACGATTATGGTTTGATGACATTTAAACATAGAAGGAATTTAAATAGGAACTTTTTGGACTTTTTAATATCAAAGTAAATTTTATTACCCAAAAGTGGTTACAATACTTGACTTTTTAGGTCACTACAAAGAGTTGAAATATCGGGTTGTCACATCATCCCCCCGTTAGAGGGAATTTCGTCCCAAAAATTTAAAGTAAGAAAACACTTGTGGATTAGGGAAACAGATGTGGGTACTTGCGTTGCATCTGATCTTCGCGTTCCCAGGTGAATTCAGGTCCTCGCTTTGCATTCCAGCGGACCTTCACGATAGGGATGCGACTTTGCTTGGTTTGCTTGACCTCTCGGTCCATGATTTCTACCGGTTCCTCCACGAAGTTGAGGCTCTCGTTGATCTCGATCTCGTCGAGTGGGATTACAAGAGTCTCGTCGGATAGACACTTTTTCAAGTTAGATACGTGGAATGTATAATGTACGTTACGAAGTGCGCCTGGTAGGTCGAGTTTGTAAGCTACGGAGCCGACTCTTGCAAGAATCTCGAAAGGCCCTATGTACCTCGGATTAAGCTTCCCACGCTTGCCGAAGCGTATCAAGCCCTTCCAGGGTGAGACTTTGAGAAGGACTCGGTGTCCCACCTGAAATTCCAAAGGTTTCCTTCGTTTATTAGTGTAGCTCTTCTGTCGGTCTCTAGAGGCTTTCAATCGCTCACTGATCTGAACGATTTTCTCTGCCGTTTCCCGAATGATTTCCGGACCGGTGAGAGTACGGTCGGAAGCTTGCCCCCTAGCTAATTGGGTATCACCCACCTCAGCCCAGCACAGAGGGGATCTGCACTTTCAGTCGTAGAGAGCTTCAAATGGAGCAGCCTTGATGCTCGTGTGATAATTGTTATTATAGGAAAACTCGACAAGGGGTAAATGAGTATCCCATGCCTTCCCAAAGTCAATCACACAGGCTCGCAACATATCTTCCAGTGTTTGGATGGTCCTCTCACTCTGTCCGTCGGTCTGAGGATGGTAGGTTGTGCTCATATCCAACCTTGTTCCTAGGGAATGTTTTAGTGATTGCCAAAATCTTGAGGTGAACCTACTATCTCTATCGGAGATAATGGACATAGGTACACCATGTATCCGTACGATTTCCCTAATGTATGTTCTCGTAAGTTTCTCCATCTTGTCGGTTTCTTTGATAGGCAGGAAGTGTGCAGACTTGGTCAATCTATCAACGATGACCCATATGGTGTCAAGTCCACCCGTTGTCTTGGGCAACTTGGTTATGAAATCCATAGTGATCCGCTCCCACTTCCATTCCGGGATCTCTGGTTGTTGCAATAAACCAGAGGGCTTCTGGTACTTGACCTTAACCTTTGCGCAAGTAAGGCATTTACTCACGAAGGTAGCAATCTCTGCTTTCATATTAGGCCACCAGTATAGCTTTTTAAGATCCATATACATCTTATCTGAACCTGGGTGGACGGAATACCGAGTGTTGTGCGCCTCGATCATGACCAAGTCTCGAAAACCACCATGTTTTGGTGTCCAGATCCGGTTCATGAAATACAAGGCTCCGTCACCCTTGGCTTCTAAATTCTTGTCCATCCCTCTAAGGGATTCATTCCTCACATTTTCAGGTTTCATGGCTTCAAGTTGAGCCTCCTG